ACATGTGGCTGACAAAATCAGTGCCTGCAATGGGGGTGCCTATTGCATTAGGAACAATTGAGGAAGTTTGTTCTTTTTTCCATCCATCACCACWATTGCTTTTAGAACTTGACAATGTAATTTCTGTTCTTTTACAGAACAGTGAAGAAAGGGGTAAAGAACTGAAGGAAATTTGACGTTTTCAATGGACAGGCAGGCATGATGCTTTCAAAATTTTGGTGGATCTCCTGCAAGCACTTGTTTTAGATTGTATAAATAGTGACACAAATAATTAGATGGTATAACTGGTCGAGCATTTGTGCTCTGTAGTGCAGTAACAGATTTTGATTACATTGTTACCACTGTTGTTCATTAAAATGTCTTATGTTTTACAAGAGCCTTTAGAAAAAAATCTCTAGGGATAAATTTTTGATGTCTTCTTTGCCACTGTAGCTTGATCACAGTGCTTTATTCATTCAGTGAAGTAATGGAAAATATTAAAGTTTATCATGAATTTTGGTTTTAGGAAGCAACAAATTTGGCAACCAAACTTGATATTCAGATTAAACTCCCTGGAAAATTGTGTAGGGCTCATCAGGGTAACCTGGAATCTCAACTAATCTCTGAAAGTTACTATAAAGAATCCCTAAGTGTTCCAACAATGGAGCACATCATTCAGGAACTTAAAGATACTTTCAGAACAGTTCCTCAAAGCTCTTAAATGTGTATCCCTGGTACCCTTAGCCATGGGACAGCTTAAAGTCAGTACATCAGAGGAGCACCATGCTGACATGAACAGAAGTGACTTGCCTAATTGTGACATGCTTTCAGTCAAGCTTCACTGTTGGAGAATCAAATGGAAACACAAGGGAAAGATATAGAGCTTCCATCCACCATTTATGAAACCCTCCATCTGCCTAATATCAATTTTTTTCCTAAAGTATATGCCTTGCTGAAGGTCCTGTATATTCTCCTGTGACAAAGTTTGAGAATAAACACTATGAAAATGGACGAAAGYGTCTCAAAACATACTTGAGGAACACTTTGACAGACCAAAGGTCAAGTAACTTGACTTTGCTTAACATAAATTTTGATATAAAACATTATCTGGATGTAATGGTAGACACATATATCAAACTATATACAAGTCAGAACTTCCTACAAACAATTCAGAAAATACCCAAAAGACTTTTAAAATTTGTTTTTCTTTATGGAAAAGCCATAAGGTGTATGTAGGTCACTTAATCACTAAGTATTCTCTCACAGGCCTCTCATGAATACATTAGACATTGGTAATCTGCCAACATACATGGCACCTATTTGAGTTCTCATGCTTTGAAAACTTGTCTGATCTCACAGAAGACAGCATTGGAAGTACCACATCTCACCTCTGTGTGACCTCTGCTAGTAGCACTCTGGAATTGTTTTTGTTAARTCTTTCATATCTAAAATGTATTATTACCATGGATCTGGTTATCAGGTATTATTATCAATTTTGAAGAAATAACTTTTGAGGAGGTTAAAAAAAACTATACCAAGATTTCTTCTCACTCCATCCAGAATGACAATTATCAAGAGTATAAATAACAATAAATGTTAATGAGGATAGTGAGAAAAGAGTATATTCCTACATTGTTGGTGGGACTGCAAATTGGTGCAACCWCTCTGGAAAGCAGTATGGAACATTAGGAATGGAACCACCATTTGACCCAGTTATCCCACTCCTTGGTATATAGTCAAAGGATTTAAAATCAGTATGCTACAGTCACACAGCCACATCAATGTTCATAGAAGCACACTCCATAATAGCTAGGCAGGCTATGGAGCCAAGKTAGGTGCCCTTCAACAGATAAATGGATAAGAAAAATGTGGTATATATACAGAATGGAATATTATTCAGCCATAAAGAAGAATGACTTTATGACATTTGCTGATAAATGAATGGATCTGGTAACTGTCATGCTAAGTGAAATAAGCCAATCTCCCCATCCAATGGTTGAATATTTTCACTGATATGTAGAAGCTAATAGTAAGAGGAGGGGGCCATATTTAAAAAAAATCAGTAGATTAGACAAAGGGAAATGAAGAGAAAGGAGGGGCAATGGGAAGAGGAAAGACAGTTAAATGAATCTGACATAAATATATATACACATGAATATAACACATTGAGTCTCACCATCATGTATACCCACAAGAAATTAATTAATAAAAACTATTGGTAAATGACAGAAAGATCACTAGAGGCAAGGTAACAGGAGTTGTGAGAGGGAAGGGGAAGAAGAGGTATTGGGGACTGAATTAGAACAARGTGTATTTCATGCTTTTATAATTATGTCAAAATAGATTCTACTGTTATATAAAACTAAAAGAACCAATAATATAAAACAAAGAATCCAATTAAAAATGGGCAAAAGAGCTGAAACCACATACRGATGGCACATTATACATATGAAATAGCTCAATATCCTTCATTGTAAGAGAATTGCATATTAAAATGAGATACCACTATACACCTRTTGGAAGAACATCCAAAAACACTGACAAATACCATATGCCGGTGAAAAATAGGACGCTTATAAGAATGCAGGATGGTATAGCCATTTTGGAAGACAGTTTGATAGTTTTAATAGTTTCTTACACAGCTAAAATAAACTATCTTACTATATAATCCAGCAATTGCACTCATAGGTGTTTACTCAATTGAAATTAAAACATGTCCATTTAAAAAGCTGCTGACAAATACTTATAGCAATTTTATTCATTTTCACCAAAAAATGAAATCAACCAAGATGCTCTTAATAAGTGAATAAGAAACTGTRCTACATTCATACAATGCAATATTTCTCATTGATAAAAACATTAGCAATGGGGCTGGGGATGTGGCTCAAGCGGTAGCGTGCTCGCCTGGCATGCGTACGGCCCGGGTTCCATCCTCAGCACCACATACCAACAAAGATGTTGTGTCTGCCGAGAACTAAAAAAAAAAAATATTAAAAATTCTTTCTCTCTCTCTCTCTTTCTCTCTCTCTCTCTCTCTCTCTAAAAAAAAAAACATTAGCAATGAAGCCATGAAAAGACATGGATGAATGCACATTAAATGCATACAACTAAATGAAAAAAGTCAATATGAAAAGGCTAAATTCTAGTAGTATTTAATTCCAATTATTTGACATTTCTTAAATTTCAAAATTATAGRGACAGTAAAAAGWTCAGGGATTTCCAGGAATTGGAGTGAACAGGAGACAGGAGGAGAATTGAATGGATAAACCATTTGGGGGGGGGGCATGAAGACTATCCTATATGATACTTTAATGGTAGATATATGACATTATGCATTTGTCAAAACCTGTAGAACATTACAGTGATAAATCATGAACCTCAATGTGTGCAAATTTTWAAAAATTTTATTATTTAGGAGCTTGGAAGATCCTTGAAAGGAGTGCAAATTATAGTAAGAAAATCTAACTATAGATTTTTAAATGTATGAAGAAATCTCCCTGAAGTGGTGGGGGACAGAGGCACTAGCTTATATAACATTGAAAGTGAATCTTTGAGACTCAATGCAAAAGGAATTATACTTAATCATTGTATTTAAGTTGATAAAATTATTTTCTATTGTGAATACAGTTTATAAATTCTGATGCCTCTATTYAGATATACTGGAATTGAATAATTAAGTAAATAGGTAGCAGATAGTAGAAACCAGATTTCTCCTTGTTGCAGTAGGAATTTTCAGACAAGCAAGGGCAGAAGGCTAAAATGATCCATTCGGTAATAATTTAGATTTGAAGACATTACTATGAATTGTCATGAATTAGCTTAATATAGATGGTTATAAAGAGAAATGTTAAGATATTTATATAAATAAATAAATATACCTATGATATATATTATATAATATATATTATGTGTGTGTGTGATTTTTTTCTTTCTCTCAGCTGAGAGGGCCTAAAAGAAATGATACTAGGTTAGCAAAAAGTATATCTGGAGCCCCTAGATCTCTGTTTCTAATATCTTCTCCAGTAAATAGAGCCATAGTTCCTTGTAGAAATGGTAGAGTCTAGGAACAAGGCAGGAAATATTTCAATCTAAAAAACATTGTAGAACTAGAAATTAAGGAAGTACTACTACTAGTAATAATAATCCATATTGATGGTCAAGGAACATATAGGAGCCAATTGGAAGAATTTCCAAAATGGCCGAAGCTGGAACATTTAGAACAAGAAAATAATTAAAGTGGTATTGATCAGTAACCCAAAGCATAAAATAAATACACATAAGTCTAAACTAATAGAAATAAATAAATGCACCCCCCAAATACAAAAAAGAAAAATTCTAAATTATTCCTAGATACTRCAACCTCAAGGAGGGGGAAATACTTAGCTCTTTCCTAAGTGTRGGCTGCACATCATATAGTGACTTCCTTTCAAAGTGTTCAGTATGAAAAAAGTGAAAAGAATACTAACTTTACATTGGGGAAACCTGAAAAACATGGCCTGAGCCAGATGATCAAGGCAAATTATCAACAGTGGTAAGTCATGTTAGCACAGGTTCCTTAACCCTAGTGTGGTCATGAGAAAGATATCCAACAAATCCTAATAGAAGGCATCCTACAAAATGGCTGACAAATATTCTTAAAATTGTCAAGGCTATTGAAAATATTAAAATTCTGAGAACTGTCACAATCAAGGGGAGCTTAAAGAAACGTGACGACTAAATATAATGTACCCTGGATGGGCTCCTGGGACAGAGAAAGAATACTAAGTAAAAACTAAGGAAATCTGGATTAAATTTGGACTTTAGTTAGTACAACTGTATTAATATTGGTTCATTAATTGTAACAAGTGTACTGTACTAATACAAGATGTTAATAATAGGGAAAATTGAGTGTGGAGTATATAAGAACTCTTTATACTATGTTCTCAATTTTTCTATAATTCTAAAGTTGTTCTTTTAAAAGTCTATTACAAAAGCATTATTTGAAGGCCTCAGAATAATCCAGCGGTTTGTTTCTCCTGTAGTTTTGACAGTGTTTCCTGTCTTGCTGACTCTACTTCCCTATCAGACATCACTTTTGATGGCAACCCAATAGCTCAAGAGTCATGGTACAAACACACTGTCCTTCAGAATATGATGCAGCTGCGCCAGCTAGATATGAAGAGAATCACGGTGAGAACATTTTCAAAGTGTTTGCCATATTGTTTTCCTAAATGTGGATTAGGAAATTGAGATACCTACCTTTTGCTTGAAATGCTTCTTAATTTTATTAATTATGGAACTGTGCATTATCATAACTGTATACTTCATAATTATAATTTCAATTTTTACTACCTACTCCCATCTCCAATTTCCTTGAAGATTTTTGTAAATTTATAAATTTTGCCTTCTATTTAAATTAATTATCATGCTTATTTTTCATTCTTGCTTAATATCCAACTAACATTTTATTTTGGAATGCATGGTAAGGACTTCATTAAGTGAATGACATAGTGCAATGATTAAGAACTTGGCTGCAGGAGCCAGACTGTCGGAGTCTGAATACTGGCTTGACTACYTTCAACCATGTGACCTTTGGCAATTTGATTAATATTTCTATATTTCATTTTCCTTCAAATAAAAAAAATCATAATTGCTCTGTGTCATAGAGTTGTAGTGAAGATAAAGTATCAAACTTTGGAGGGATATGAGGCTCCTAGAAAGTTTTGTATRCAGTTATTCATGTTAATGTTGTACCTTCCAAAGTAGCTCTTTTTAAAATAAATTCCCTTTTTCATGTACTTCAATATTTTGATATGGCTGCTGATCTAAGTGAATCATGCAAATGTGGCCCCTTCTTTTTAGGTGCACAGTGCACATTAGCATATTATCGGCTTTAAGAAGTTCTCTAAGAAAGAGACTTGCCTGACTTTGTTTCATTGCATTCCAAATTTATTTAATTTTTTTCAGAAAATATCTATTAATAACCTTARTTTGATTATCTGTGTCCTAAGAAAAAATCCCAAGCCACTGTTTTCTTTTAGCRTCTGCTAATTTTGATGTGGATTGTGTTGTCACCTAGGTTTACTCAATTACCAAGTGACTTGTTCTTTGTATACCATCTTTGCAGTATGTGCACTTATTTTTTTTTCATTTCCACCTCAGCAATATTATGGACATTGAGGCAGGTTAGCAAATATTGAAGTGTGGATGAAAGACTCAATATCAAGAGCCTCCTAGGGTTCTCCCTCTTTCTCTTTGTTCCAGGATGGACRTATGATTCTTTGTCCTCTCAGATTATTTAGATCTGTACTATCAACATTGTTTTGTATTTTAGGCATAATTCTTTACCCTTACCTCCATGTCTTTCTTAATTAAGCATTCTTGATACTTCTAATTGCTCTTCTCCTGAGGCTGAGTTGAGTGGGGAAAGACAGCTGTASAGCAGATTTACACAAATCAGTTCATAATTATGTGTTTTTCATAGTGAATGTGTTTGGCAGACTTGTCTACTGAGCCAATATAGTCTTTTTAAAATTTTTTAATTTATTTGTTCTAATCAGTTACACATGACAACAGAATGCTCTTTGATTCATTGTACATAAATGGAGCACAATGTTTCACTTCTGTGGTTGTATATAAAGTAGGGTCACACCATTCATTCAATCATACATACACCTAGGATAATGATGTCAATCTCATTCYACMATCTTTTCCATCATAATGACCCATCCCTTTGCCTCCCTCTCCTTTGGCCAATCCAGAGTTCTTCCACTCATCCCATGCCCCAACCCCCAGCCCCCCCATTGTGGATTAGCATCCATTTATCAAAGAAAACATTTGGCTTTTGGTTTTTTGGAATTGGCTTACTTCGTTTAGCATGATACTCTCTAACTCCATCCATTTACTTGCAAATGCCATAATTTTATTCTCTTTTATTGCTGAGTTATATACCACAGTTTCTTTATCTGTTCATTTATTGAAGGGCATCTATGTTGGTTCCACAGTTTGGCTATTGTGAATTGTGCTGCTGTGAACATTGATGTGRCTGTGTCCCTGTAGTATGCTATTTTAAAGTCCTTTGGGTATAGACCAAGGAGTAGGATAGCTGGGTCAAATAGCGGTTCAATTCCCATTTTTCCAAGGAATCTCCATACTGCTTTCCAGAGTGGTTGTACCCATTTGCAGTGCCACCAGCAATGTATGAGTGTGCCTCTTCCCTCACATCCTTGTCAACACTTATTGTTGCTTGTAATCTTGATAACTGCCATTCTGACTGGAGTGAGATGAAATCTTAGAGTAGTTTTGACTTGCATTTCTCTAATTGATAGAGATGTTGAACGTTTTTTAATATATTTGTTGATGGATTGTATATCTTCTTCTGAGAAATGTCTGTTCAGTTCCTTAGCCCATTTATTGATTGGGTTGTTTATTTTTCTAGAATTAAGTTTTTTGTGTTCTTTGAATATCTTAGAGATTAGTGCTCTATCTGATGTGCATGTGTTAAAAATTGGCTTCCATTCTATAGGCTCTCTATTCACCTCACTGTTTCCTTTGCTGAGAAGAAGCTTTTCAGTTTGAATCCATCCCATTTATTGATTCTTGATTTTATTTCTTGCACTTTAGGACTCTTGTTAAGGAAGTCAGGGCCTAATCCGACATGATGAAGATTTGGGCCTACTTTTTCTTCTATTAGGTGCAGGGTCTCTGGTCAAATTCCTAGGTCCTTAATCCACTTTGAGTTGAGTTTCGTGCATGGTGAGAGATAGGGGTTTAATTTCATTTTTGCTGCATATGGATTTCCAGTTTTTCCAACACCATTTATTGAAGAGGCTATCTTTTCTCCAATGTGTGTTTTGTGAACCTTTGTCTAGTATGAGATAACTGTATTTATATGGGTTTGTCTCTGCATCTTCTACTCTGTACCATTGGTCTTCATTTGTGTTTTTGTGTCAATACCTTGCTACTTTCTTTACTGTAACTCTATAGAAAATATAAGGGCTGGTATTGTGATGCCTCCTGCTTCACTCTTCTTGCTAAGGATTGCTTTGGCTATTCTGATCTTTTCAATTAATTTATTTATTTTAATTTTTGTTTTGGGGTACCAGGATTAAATGCACAGGCTCTTGACCACTGAGCCACATTCCTAGACTTATTTTGTATTTTATTAGAGATAGGGTCTCACTGAGTTGCTTAGCGCCTTGCTAAATTGCTGAGGCTGGCTTTGAACTCACAATCTTCCTACTTCCACCTCCTGAGCCACTGGGATTACAGGCGTGTGCCACCTCGCCGGGCCTGGCCTTTTATTTTTCCAAGTGAATTTCATGATTGCTTTTTCTATTTATATGAGGTATGACATTGGAATTTTAATTGATATTGCATTGAATGTGTATAGCACTTTTGGTAGTATGGCTATTTGACAACATTGATTCTGCCTATCCAAGAGCATGGGAGATCTTTCCATTTTCTAAGGTCTTCTTCAATTTCTTTCTTTAGTGTTCTCAAATTATTCCATGAAATATAAAAGGAGGGAACCCTCCCAAACTCATTCTACAAAACTCGTATCACCCTAATGCCAAAGCCAGACAAAAACTCATCAAGGAAAGAAAACTTCAGACCAATATCCCTGATGAACATAGACACAAAAATTCTCAGTAAAATTCTGGCAAATCACATACCAAAACATATTTAAAAGATAGTGTACCATAATCAACTGGGGTTTATCCCAGGGATGCAAGATTGGTTCAACATATGGAAATTAATAAATGTAATTCACCACATCAATTGACTCAAAGATAAGAATCATGTGATTATATCAATAGATACAGAGATACCAATAGCAAATTCAGCACCCTTTCATGTTCAAAACACTAGAAAAACTAGGGATAGTAGAAGCATACTTCAACATTGTAAAAAGCTATCTATTTGTAAACCGAAGGCCAATATTATTCTAAATGTAGAAAAATTGGAAGCATTTTCTCTAAAAACTGGAACAAGACAGGGAGGCCCTCTTTCACCACTTCTATTTAACATAGTCCTTGAAACTCTAGTCAGAGCAATTAGACAAAATAAATTAAAGGGATTCAAATAGGAAAAGAAGAACTCAAACTATCACTATTTGCCCATGACATGATTCTATACTTAGAGGATACAAAAAATTCCACCAGAAAACTTCTAGATTTAATAAATGAATTCAGCAAAGTAATAAGATATAAAATCAATATCCATAAGTCAAATGCACTTCTCTACCTCACTGATGAATCCTTTGAAAAAGAAATTAGGAAAATCACCCCATTCATAATAGCTTAAAAAAAAACTTGGGAATCAATTTAACAAAAGAGGTGAAAGACCTCTATAAGAAAAACGACAGAACACTAAATAAAGAAATTGAAGAAGACCAATATAATCTTTAGGACAGTAACCATTCTTCCTCTTTCTTTTCCTGACACATATAGATACTCTATAATTTTTTTTCCTTTTCTTTTTCTTTCTTGCCTAATTCTGAGAATGTAATTGAATWTACTAATGTTTATTAAAGCCTTATTAATTGAGTAAAATTTACTTTATTTTCTTAATTAAAATAGAATCATACTAGTTCTTTTACATTCTATAAGATGTATTTGCCTGGTAAGGAAATRGGAGAAGGTCATGAGAATAGAATTGGGGGCGTCTGTACTGATAATTAAAGAGCAGTAATATTTATAGAGCATATAAATATAAACATAAAGCATATCTGTTCCTTCATGGTTTAATTTTAACAATTAAAATTTGGAAACACTCTCAAAGTTACAGAAAAAAAGTACAGAACAAAGAATGTTTTTTCTTGAACTCTGAGAGCAAAATGCTGACTTGATTCTCCAACAGCTGTATAAGCAAAGACATCTCTTATAAAACCTCACTACAACTAATGAAAATGAGAAATAAACATTGAAGTATTACTAGCATCTAACTCTTGCACCACATTCAACTCTCACCAATTAAGTTAATAATGTTTTCCGTAGCAAAATGCTCCAGTGCTATAGATGCCTTTTGTTATCATGCCTCTGTGTGTGTGTGTGCACATGTGTGTGCATATAATTTGTTGTTTTCCTGGAATAGCGCCTTGCTTTTTCTTAAACTTTCATAACTTTGATAGTTATGAAGATTATAGGTTAGTTATTTGGTAGAAATGATTCTCAATTCAGATTTTCTAC